TAAATTCTCAAATTAACTCCATTAAGGCAAAGTGGTCTCTATGGAATACAGCCATTAGATTACATAAGCTTTAATTACCAGCCAGTGTTGACTTGTGACTCTTACTTGGAAATTACGTGTCAACCTTTTTATTTAATTTAGATTTTCATTTCGTTTGCCTCATTCTACTCATTCTAAGAAGAAAAAAAAAAGTTTATTATTCATACAGCAATCTGTAACACAATTTCATATCCTAATCTTAAAAATGCTTAGACATATGCTTAACTTTAGGGTTATAAGCAGCCTTCTTAAAGCAAAGAGGATACTTGGTATTAGATAACACTTGTCTATTTGACTGGGTTTTTTTACACTACAACACCCCACCGCCACTACTATGCAACTATTACTGTAGGATAGATGAAGCATACAGCTAAAGAAGTAATCATGCCTTCTTCAAAGAAGAGGGACTAACATAGGGAAAAAAAATCCAAACAAAACAGTATGAGCTGGCACAAAAGAGAAGCTAATTTTTCACAGATTCTCAGGTTGACCTAACTGCCAGCAACATGTTATAACTGTGTAATTTTGGCCTTTCCTTGTTCCCAAGTGAAACATGGTGTACAGTCTGGCCTTGGAAAAGATAAGAGTACATTAAAAATCATTTTAGCTCTTCCTCAAGTTAAGACTTACCTAAGTAGAGACAGAAATTATCTTTGCAATATGAAACTATAACTCGTGGTCTGTTCCTGTGGCACTCTTGAGGTTTTCCATTTTCAGAAACGGAGTAAAACATTGAAAATGGCCCATGTAACTTGACCAGTAGTTGCAAAAGTTTCACAGAGAGCTATTAGCCACGGGACACTGCTTCAGTTTTGTAAAAGAAATGAAGATGCTTTTTGCATACTACTATATGCACTGTTTCCAAAAGCACTTGCATTTCATTTTGTCCATTTGACCCAATATCTTTTATTTTTAGTGTTTAGTCTTTTGCTTCGGAAAAAGTATAGTTGCACTTAGGACACAGTGGTATCAGCTTGGCTGTGTTAAACTCGCTTAGAGAGAATTTTTTTTTTTTCTTTACCCCTGCAACAGATTTATAACATCTTTCATAATTAGTAATTAGATGCCCAAGAGAGGAAAGCAGGAAAGTTGCAGACTAGGACTAAGTACTCATTCTACAAGCCTCCCCCTGTGCAGCACTGCCAATGCATATTTATCAGACTCTGCAAACACTGCACTATCCCAGCTCTGCTGAGTCTCCTCCTGAGAACAGACTGTCAGTTATGTCAAACTGGGTGTTAAAAGCTGCTGGGATTTTGTGGCTTGAGCATACGTTTCCTAAAGACAAAACTGGAATCAAGCTCCTTTTTCCATTGGGAACGAAACGCATTTCTGAACTACCGTGTTCTTATAAGGAATCAACCACGCCATCCCTTTCCCCTCCTCTTCCCACTCTCTGGAACATGAAGACGCATGCAGTTTCTCAAATGGTTTGAACAAGTAGCTTGCCTAAGTCTCACGATATATTTGGTATGACTAGAATAAGAAACTTGCTTTTTTAGTCCTGGGGAGAGCTGAAATGTTCAATATGCAGGATTTGCTGTACATTCATGCAAGAGAGAAGAGACAGCACACTCCATCTATGGAAACTCCTGTAGCTTTTATTCTTAATGACCCAGCACCCCTGTTGTTTTGTGTCTCTCTATCTAGCACTCTAGCCCAAAGTTGGGTGTGTAACAAATATGTTAATGCATGGAGGGAAGATGATTAGACTGACATGGCCCCCTTTTCTCAGAATTTTTCTACTAGAGAAGTAGGAATTCACTACACAAGTAGGGAATGTAGGTATGTCTTTTTGAATCAAAATGCACAGCTGGAGCATGTTTTAATTACTAAACTAGATGGAAATGCTAATAAAAGCACATGACATCTCCATAACTTTCAGACAGATTCAATGAAATCAGTGTTCTTACAACAAACACCAAGTGAAGTGCAGCAGAACAGGCGAGGATATTAAGCATGGCTGCTTTGAGGGCCCAGTTGTTTAACCAGTAGATTGTATTCGTGGTGTTGCAGGGCAGAATTGAGGTGTAATGCTCAGCTGTCCAAGAAGAACCCACACTGTGCCTGGCTGCATAGTAACAGCTGTGATTTCTACACAAGTGTCTTTCAATTATACAATGCACTCTTTTACACTCTTGTTAGAGGTGAATTCTGCACCTGCTATTTCAGGTTTGGTTGAACATTGATGATCAGAAACTTCCAAAAAGGAAAAAAAAAATCTCTTTGACAGTATGTTTGGAGTCATGTTCATTCTGTTCTTGCAAAAACTACTATCTGAGATTGAATGCAGTGATCCTACAAATGAAGGACCAGTAGCCTAACTTTACAGATTAGGACAGAACAAGCAAACTGTCTTCTCCACTGGAAACATACAGTCCTTTCAAAACATCTGTTTTGCTTGGCTTACTGGACAATGCCAGCTGGGATGCATTCTCTGGTGCGCATTGAGGGGTTAGGAGAAGAGATGTTTCCATGCCTGTTTTCAGTGATGACCCTGAAGTCAGATGGTGAACTTGCTACTGATGTCATGAAGCACCCACTATCTGAACCAACCACCTCCAACTCCCCTAACTCCTTCTTCCTAATGCAGTATAATGGCCTGTCTCCAACCTTTATTCCTACAATTAGATAGATCTTAACATCTAAAAGAAGCCTTCTTTCCAATCATTGCAATTTTTGAAGCACATATTAGTCCCCAAGATGACACTGTTTGCACATAGCAATCAGTGTATGGAATCTTGGTTCTAAATTCAATTTCAGCTGAGTTTGTTGTTTATTCTCCAGCCTTCTTCACCACTGCCACTCCAAAGATAAAGATCCAAGAAAAGAGTGTTTCTGAGGCAGGACCCTCTGCACATGTAGTCACAGCATCAACAGATGTTTAAGAAGCCTCTGTTTTATAGAGTATTAGTAAGAAATGCCTGTAAGAAGCTCTGTCTTTTCTTTGAGAACATTTTTTTTCCAGCAAACAATTTAATGCCTAGTAAGAAAAGCTAGTTTTAGGCAGGAACTGTACTAAGGTTTCATTAGCTATACTGGACATTATCTTGATCACCTCTGCTGAGCTCAACAAATCCTCTGAGATGAGCAGTACTGCTAGCTAAACAGCAAATATATTCTTGACAAGGGCAGAATCCACAAGACTTAGAGTACCAATGTTATTCCCTTTGTTTTGATTTCATATTTTTAATTTAATATATTTCCAAATTACATCATTCTGCCATTATACGGCAGAATTGTTTATAAGTTTGCTAATTGCTCAGATGAGTGGTTTATGTGAAACAGGGACGTTTCTTTGAAGTAACACAGAAAGAGACTGTTTAAATCTTTGTGCTGTGAGATTCCTATTATTTACAGAGCATTTGGAAAGCTACAGAATATTACAGTCTCCTCAAAATGAATGCAAATACCAGGAGAGAAAAACAGTGAGAACCTAACCGCTAAGGATAACGCATGCCACCATAAAAATGGGCATTTGCAAGAAATCCCTTAGAAACAACAATCAAAATAGACAAAACGCCCCACATCCTTGCAATATAAAGCCAGTTTACACTGAATAATTCAGACATCTAATTGGAAATAGATATAGTTTTAAAATTTAACAGGATTTTAACATTCAGAAGAATTCTGAGCAGAGCATGATACAGGTTTTTACTGTTGTTTTGCTTCTGTTATGTTTATTTTAGCATTGTTTTTCTGCTCCTAGCCCTCATCCAACACGAACATGCTACTTCTGGAAAGACTTGCAAAGGCTATGTGTTGATAGTGAAAGCTGCTCTCATATTTTGGAGAATTTCCCCTCTCTACCTTCACTCCAGCCAGTCTCTTAAACAATGTTTACTGAGTCTTTTTCCACATCGTACAAGGCAAGCATTTACATTTTTTTTTACAAAGCTTACAAAAAATGGGTAAAAGACAAAACGGTGTACTAAAACCATTGTAAGGGACTGATTACTAAGACAGTTCCAGAAGAGGAACATAAGGAGCAAGGTGGGGGAGCTGGAATGCTCCACTCCAACTAGCAATAAGAAGATATTAGCACATGACATGAACAAGAGTCATCCTCCTTGGTATAAAATTATCATTCAACATAAAGCAGCATATTGAAACAACCTCCTTAGTAAACTCTTTATACTCTAAGCATGTTTTATTAGCCTATTTGTCCTGTTTGTGTCAAACAGTCTGATCACCTCTCTATTTTAATCCTCTTTCTGCAACACCGTTGGAAAACATCTTTGAGAGACATTATTAAACTGGACGAGGGATATACACATATGCCCACACACAGTCTTAGTAATCATGCCCTAACAATTGTTTTAGTATTCTATTTTAATGTTTCTCTTTTTTCTGGAGCTGCTGTTTATTAAGGGAATTGGTTATTTTGTCTTCACTGTACATTTATGCCTCTCAGTTTGGGGATCTAACTGTGCTCCATGTGCTAAAACCAGGTTGCAAAGCCTTCTGAGGGGCTGCAAGTAGCCCTTCCAAAGCCAGAATAAATAATATGACTTTAATGAAATAAAACTAAATGAAAAGCTGGGATAATCAAGTAACCAGTGTGCATTTAAGTGTTGGGCTTTCAAATTACCATCTACACCTGCGCCATAAACTGATACCAGAAATAGGTTAAATGAATACAGTGCTGTTATTACTATTGTTATTATTTTACAACATTCAGGAGTCTGCAGATGCTTTACAGTGCAGACAAATACCGTCCCTATTCCCGCAAAGCAACAGAGATAGCAGGTGAATATCCGATCCCTCTAATTCACTGCAGAAAACTTTGCACAGGTTAATCTATTTGTAGTGGTCATATGTTTCATGCTTCCTTCCTTCCAAAGAAAAAGCAACCAGGGAAGGGAACCTGACTTCCTTTTGAAGTAAGCGAATAAATGTAGAAAGAGCTTCTTTAGCCATAATCAGATATACAATACACAAGAAAAGAAAGCTACCTTTACCTGTGAAATAAGACAGACTTGACAAGTGTGACAACATCCCGACTGGCATTGTACCCTGCACAAACGATGGCAACGTGAATGGTCTGTGGGAGAACAAGAACAAAAAGAACAAAAATTAAAGCCTGCTCCTGTGTTCTATCATTCATTAAGGAGAGCACATACATGACAGTGCTATTATTTAGTGTGGCGATTGTTAAAGGTTTGAGTGGGCGTTTTTCAGCAGTTTGCAGCCCACTTGAGGCAGTTTGTTGAAAACATCTTAATTGAGTTATAACACCATCACCATTCCAAAGTCATTACTATCCCTAAATTACATCAGATGGCTGAACAAAATTGCATTTATTAGCTAAGAGCATATGTGTGCGCGTGTGTACACACACCCCCATGTAGCAGCACACAACTTCTGAGTATGCAAACACGCAGACACTTTAACCTTCTGAAGTTTAAAATTATGCCTGATCACTAGAAGCACATATCCTCTTAGAAATGCTGTATTATTTCCATCTTAGGGACAGCTACTAAGGGGAGGGAGAGCAAGCTCTGAAGGATGAGCATGAGTGGGACAACTGGTTTGCCAGGGGCTGGGTGCATCCCAGTGACAGGACAGGACACAAGCTGTGAAGGCAGTTGGTCACTTCCCTGCCGGTGACAACCAGTATGGGCTGTACCGGGCAGTGCTAATGTGAAGTTAAATACAACCCCCCCACACACACCCCTTCTCCCCACCCCAGCACCTTGGTAAATTAACACTTATTCTGTGCCTTCTTACCTCCCTCTTAATATGAGGCAGAGGTTTATTCATCTCCTCAAGGGGAAAGGGAAAACTAAGAAGGTGCTCCTAGTCATTATTGTTAAGGTAGTAAGTAATAATTTGAAAACTGCTGTTAAATTACTCTTCTCTGGTTTTAAAACCAGCCACTGCCATTCCCTTGGGATGAAGAAAAATTAATCTTAGCAAGTTTTGACTCCAGCTTCTGTATTTTTCTGTTTCTTAGCGGTCACAGAAATGAAGAAGAGTTCACCATGCTGGCAGCACAAAGCTGCAACTGGGGACACAGCTGTGAAACTGCAGGAAACCCTCATTTGGCTTCCATTTGAAGCCTGGTTAGCTGGTTTCTCACACACGCAGCTCTCATTTTCCACAGAAAGCCCACAACGCAGAGAACAAATGAGGAATTCTGCCTCCTCACATAGTCATAGATTCCTGAAGTCTGGCTTGTAACAGAAGCAGATTTACACAAGAGGTGGCATGTGTTGGGCACATCTGAAGAGTCCATAGCCCCCTGCATTAACATCGCCTGGTACAGGGCACAATTTGAATCCTGTAATTGCCAAGTGGCTGTGCCACTGTGCAACCCCTGTACGAACATCGCAGCTGCCTCCAGCCCTAGTGTGCCTTACAAGCTGAGGCACACTGAAGATCAGGTTTGAAGAGGACTTGAATTAATAAGGCAACTGCCTGTCCAGAGAGGTATGAGAAAGAAAAGATACTGCTGCACATTTTCTGTGAGGTATTCAGCACTTTAAATTTATGTTAAAGGCAATGGAAGTTGAGCATGCTCAGCACTTTGCAAAAATTGACTGTGTTTCTCTCTTGCGATAACAATCGGGGAGAACAGAGGCTGTTTATTAACAATTTTTATTGCAGCAGTGGTTTGTATGATACTTATGGGTATGGGTTCTTGGGAGCGCACAGATTCCTGACACTGTATGCACTCCCTCCTCTCCGACTGCCACCTGGTCTTTCTCTGGCTTTTGGAATACCTAATATCCTTCCCTTCAGTGCCAATTAAAATCAAATTAACTGGGAACAGTTTCATGCCTGCTTTAAACACTCCACCTGAAGATACTGAACCAGACACAAACATTTTATGGATTTTGACAGAATAGTACTGTCGTATCACTGTCAACATAAATTTATACAACCTCTACTTTCCAGAAAAGCTCTCCTCACAGCTTCTCTCTCCACTTTACAACTCCCCTCAAAATCAGAATTTATTCTGTCAAGGACTTTTCCACATCTGTTCTCCTTTTCCTAAATCAGTTTGCTTCAAAATTAAAAGCATGCTTTCCTCACTGTCTTCTAGCAGGTACTGTTGTCTTGCATGCTGTTTCAGCCAGGGCACAGTGAGAAGACAGCACTTGCTGCTCTTCTGAATGTCCTTCTCCAGTTCAGAGACACAGGCATCCATATACCTTCTGCTCAGCCTCTCTGCGGCGTTTGATACTACGTACCACTTCTATTCCAGACTGCAATCAGCTATTGAAAAAAGCAATAATCCTCAAAGAGAATATAAACTTAGTTCTTTTTTTCCGAAGTTTTTGCCCACAGCATGCTGCAAGACTCAGTCTGTTTCTCTCCTTTTTTTGATTCATTTTCCTCTCTCTCATCGTTTAACTGTTAAACAAAGTCAGTGGGAAAACAGGTAAGTCAACATGAGGTCATCGACCTTAACTGTCTACATGTCCTGGGTTGAGTGAGTGGTGGAGTTTTTTGGTGGCAGGGGAGGGGGCTGTAGGGGCAGCCCCCTGTGAGAAGCTTCTCGATGATCCCCCAGCTCCACGTCAGCTCCACCTCTGCACCAAAACTGAGCCAATCGGCTGCGCCTCTGCGATAACGTATTTAAGAAGGGACGTGGTGACGGGCAGTGGGACTGGTGAGGAGGAGTTGCTGCAGCTGCGTGAACACCAAGGTCAGTGGAGGAACGGAGGGAGAAAGGAGGGGGGAGGTGTGCCGGAGCAGAGACCCCCCTGTATCCTGTGGGGAGACGGCAGGGCGGCCCCCCCCGCCACCCATGGAGATCTACGGTGGAGCAGACATTAATTTATGGGCTGTGGCTTCCGCCTGATTGGTCAAGGTGCTGTGCCCGAAGAAGGCCGGATTCTCATGGGAAAAGGCAGCCCCGCTGCTGTAATTCAGCACTGGGAGGATTGCAGCACTTGGGGGAGTCCCACGCCAGAGCAGCTCGGGAAGGGCTGCAGCCGTGGGAGAGAATCCAGTCGGAGGAAGTTGGTGACCCATGATGGAGCAGTGTGGGGAATGCTGCGGCCCATGGGAGGGACTCCAGCTGGAGAAAGTTTGTGGAGGACTGTCTCCTGTGAGAGGGGGACCACGATGGAGCAGGAGGAACAAGTTTCGGACACTCACCTCACCGAAGATGAAGGAAGTGGCAGAGCTGACTGCATCCCCCATTCCCTGCCCCTGCGCCACTGGGGGAGGAGGTAGAGATATCGGGAGCAGAGCTGAGCCCGGGAAGAAGGGAGGGGTGGGGGGAAGGTGTTCTCAAGATGTGGCAATGCTTCTCACTGTCCTACTCTGTTATGTGTTGTTAGTGTCTGTAATAAATGTATGTTCTTTTTTTCTGCCCCTAACAAGTCTGCCTTTTGCTCGTGATCATAAAAGGGGGATTTTTCCCCATCCCAGTCCTATCTCGAACCCCAAGCCTGGCTCTCTGTCCCTTCTCATTGCCGGAGGGGAAGGGAGAGAGAGGTGCTGCATTGTGGTTGGCTGTCAATCAGGCCTAAACCACAACACTACATATGTTTACATCCTAACGGAAAAAGATTTATTTCTAGTTTTCTCCCTGCTTGTTCCAAATACATGTTTGGCTAGAGAACAGCTGGCTGTAGCCAAATCCTGGCAAGACAGGGCAATAGTGGCTGGAAGAAGGAGGCACTTCAAAGAACTTGCTTCCTCCTGAGCGCCCTACTGTAAGCATCAGGTCATAAATTGTGAAATTGGTCAGCAGCATCACAGCTCTCTCAAACTCCTAATTTTCCATCTGTAGATGGCTGGAAGATTGCACGCCCATCTCACTAGATCTGGTCTTGATGACTGCAGCTAACACCTAGGAGTGAAGCCACATAGGTAAAGAATGCTCCAACTTCCACAACATGTGGCAGCCTGTCTTCTTGGTTCAACGTGTCCCTCCAAACATTTCACACCAGGGCTCAGCATGCTACACTTGCTCTTCACTGTTTACAACCTGCGATAATTCTAGTTGTCAAACTCTAGCCTTGATATTGAGAAGTTACTGTGGGACTAAACTGAGCTCCTTGAAAGTGTCCATCCTCTTACAGCACTCTTTTTCAACTGAGTGACAGACATGTTCATCACTAATAGGTGTTGCAAGAATTCTGGACACAGGCTATTCGCTGGAGATGCTTTTAGACAATGGAACTCATTGCGGCAACAGATTAAATGATGATACATCTTGCTTTCCAAACTCAATGAATTCTTCCTCCGTTTATACATAGAGATATGATAGGTAATCAAAACACTGTGGAAGTTAATCATGATGTTCTTCCTACAGGTTGGGGATCAGGGACACAAAGAGTACTATTTTTTATTTCAAATAGTTTAGGGAGCACTCAGGCCCAGGTACTTCAAGGCATTTAAGGAAGTTAAGCTACTTTAAGAAAAGAGAGTTTAAATAATACCAAGGTGCATTTTAACATAGTTTAGAAACCATTACTTTAGCCACCATAGACCAGGAAAAACTGTTTCTGAAAGCATTATTTCATGTAAGTCCATTCCGGAGTAATATTAATAGCAAGAAAGTATCCAAAACCACATGAAGAACTGGGCCTCAGATCTCATACTGATGAGTATAAGGTGCCTAGGTAAACAGATGCTATTTCTTTTCTTCCTCAGGCTACTTTTTGGAATGGTGAAATAACGAGCTTAACAAACTCTAATTAGTTCTTATAGCTAAAAATAATCTTTGGTAAAGCATTTCATACTTCAATAATTTTCCAGTAATACTAGTCGAGACTTCCACTGCAGTTACTTAATCCTCCAAAAAAAATTACTGAATGTGATTAAGAGATATTAAAAGCATGTTACAAAAATGTAAATATGCTACAAATCATTCCCAGAGGCAAGTAACATCTGCTTTTCTTCTGTAACAGTGCTTAAATTGGTGGGGGCCTGTTCTTTGTGGCTCTGGAGCCTGACACACTTAACCCTATTGAGCAACACCGTTGAGAACAGTAACAATACAAATACACCTGTAAAAATGCTTCAAACTTTAAGTATTTTGCTAACCTACTAAATGATATACTGCTAATTAACCATTTCCTAATATAAGATCTCGTCTTGGGTTTGTCTGTTAAAAAATATTTATAAATACACACTTAATTCAAACTAAATGACCAGTTTATGAAGGCAGAAGCTGGAAAGATACTGGGGTAACACTGTAAGAAAGAATCATATAATTCTGTTAGCTTCCATCAGCATTATGCTCTTCTTCTGAAGCCTGTTATTTGTGCCTACATCTCTGTAAGGACTACTCATATTTCCAAGGTCTGTGTTAAAATTTTCTCCTACTGGGAAGGCATGACAGGGATCTGTTCCCTCCAGCGAGAAGGCCCTTGGTTGGAACTCTGATTTTTTCTTGCAATATACTGCTGGTACATTTTATAGTATCAGAGAAGCTATCCTGTGATGTAACAGAGTAGGAAGTGGTGCCTGGAATGCAACAAACCCACTGCTGTTTGATACAGATCACAAATATCATTACACAGATTATGCTTTCTCAGAGATTTATTGTAACTGCATTTTCAAATATTTTAATCATCACTAAAGACAATCAAAAATCAGATTCTGAAATATTAGCTTCAGTAAATCTCAAAGAACTTACTCAATGAAATAAACAACCTACTCCTAGCTCTATTAATTTCCCCCAGACCCCTAGCCTTTTTCTCAGGACCCTTGTCCAACAACCCAAGTGGCTGACTTGCTGTGATATATTCCAGGCTCAGAGGCTAAAAAATATTTAGTTTACACCTCTGAAACACTGAAAAGAGAGGGTGAATGGAGTCAAGATACCACTCACACAAAAATGGAACCCAAATCTACAGTAATAGGATAAACGATGAGACCCCTGGCAAATCTGATAATAAGGAAGTTTAATTTTAACTTCTATTGCTGTTACTGAATTACTTGGTGAATTCCTTAAGAAAAAGAAGAAAAAGCTATTTCGTTATCAAAATTGTGTGTGGTGAGATAGGGGGATGGCAAATAAAGAGAGGTGTTGTATTTTATATAACCATTGCCTTCAGCACAATGCTAAACCCCACTGAGCAAGTAAATTTATTGGCAAAACATATTATAAACTGAAAGGCCACTTAAACTACTCCTCCTTTAAGCTGCTATTTTTGTGTTCCAAATTGGTTGGTACATTGAACAACCAAGAACTGAGATTCAGCTCATCAGTCCTTGGCATGATAATAAGGGAGAAGTGAGGTTTGTTTATTGATGGTCTGAACCTTCCCTTCCCTTATTAAAAGAAATGCCAAAATGCTCAAAGGGAGGAAAATCAGACCCTCATTATCAGAAGGAGGGAAAATGAAAAACAGACTCCTCCTTTTTCCTCTCCTTAAATAACGTCGGTTCCTTTTTTCCATACTGACGGACGAAGATGTCCAACTGGAAAGCAATTAATTCATTTTTAAACGATATTTGGTATTTGCTCATTAAATAGACTTTATCTGGAGAGATAATTAGGAGTTCTTTTTCTCTTCCACTTCTTTTCTTTCAACTTTTATCTTCCCAGTGGCAAGAAGCAAGATAAAAGGTGATACGGTATTACCCTCTTTGTAGAAATAAATGGAGGAAGCTATTTTTGGTACATCCACCAGCTGGGATTGGCACAAGGCCTTTAAGCAAGACCTTCTGTTTTGGATCTATCTGTATTTGGAACTGTCATCATTCAAATATCTGACAACCAAATAGCTGGATGACATCCACAAAACTACTGGCATAAAATGGGGGAAACCAAATCAAAACGACCCCCACAAAACCTTCTTAGAAACAGATCTCCTGTTCCCTGCAGCTAAGCACACCACTTGTGCACAGCTCAAACAAAGCAGGTGGTTCCACAGTAGCATCCAGATACACGCCTGAAAGTGACCCAAAAGCACAGGCTGGCTCCATAAGCCACAATTTAATTAATGGTAAACCCTGAACTGTTCCAGTACAGATGCACGAAGAGAGGAATAACGCTTTTCAAAGCACTGTGACGCTTTCATTTAATTTAGAAACACACGGGGTCAGTTTGCCACAGGTCTTTATCAGCACGGCTGTACTGAAGTCAGCTTGGAACAAGGCTTTGAGTTTTACACCAGGTTTGGGGACACAAGAATGAAAAAGACAGAAAACTCTGATCAAATAATAACTCAAACGGGATACAGATGATTAAGTGTTTTAAGGTTTTGGAAAAGAATAATTAAAAATCATCTAAAAAGTTGCACCCCATAGCCCTTTACGAGGCTGGTTTCTGAGCAGAAAGTTTCAAGGGGAAGGAGATAGGGATCTGCAACGTCCTTAGAAGATCAAATCCATCAAGCTTTGTTTCTGGCAGGCGCCTTTCGCTTATTTACCTCACATTTCTCCACCGCTGGTTGCTGCCCGCACTCGGAGCTGTTTCCCGCCACGATGCCAGCCCGCAGGCTCTCGCTGTCGCCCGTCCCCTCTTCCATGGAGTAGGTTTTGGAGTGATTGCCGCGGTGGCGCGGGGGGCTGCGGCTCTGCGCCAGGCTGAGCTGCCTGCGAAGCACGCGGTTCTCCTCCTCCACCTCCCGCATGCGGACCTCCAAGCTCTCCCTCTCCCGCTGGCTCGACGCCGCGTACCGGGGACTGTGGGGCTGGGATTCAAGCGGAGACAGTGACACCGGCTTCCCATCTGCAAGAGAAGGAAACGAAACACTTCTGTCAGGACACGCTTCGAGCCGCGTTCTCCTTTAACGTCGGCACCGTGAGGCAGGGAGGTGTTTCAAATACAGACACGTCTTACACGGACTTGGCACTTCAAGGCAACGCGTAAGTGCACGGTAAACTTAGGCAGATGCTGAAGTTCTATGAGCTACAGGCCCTACTAGTCTTAAAACCACGTTAAAATACAAGCATGTGTTTCTTTTGTTCTGGATAGGGCTGCCTGCCAGTCTGTAGCCTGGAAAGACAGCCAAGAACAGAAGGATTTAATTCAAAGACAATTAATATACAGCTAAAGATATTTTAGAAATATATGCAAGACAAAATAATTTTCCTGTTCCCCACTTCCTCCACAGTCAAGCTACAGCATTTTGGTTATCTTTTTGTGCCAAACAGTAGCCCCAGCTGATTCACATGTGAGGAGCAGATGGTTTTTATTGAGCAACACAGCATTATGTGCTTGCTGAGAAATAAGAGGTTCAGAAGGACAGACACATTCAATACACATGTGGGTCAAATTCTGGAAAGTATTTTGGCTGAGAAACACAACAAGGGAATTTTGAAAAAAAGCAAAATGGTTCAGCTCAACACCTCTAGCTGAAAAGTTATATTCCAGAAATATGAAACACTTCAGTTTCACATTTTCAAAAGGTATCTTATTTGTTAAAAACAGCATTAAAAGTGAGCTAGATATAAAGTATAAAAAAGATAAATTAACCTGAAACCAAGGTCCATAACCAAAGACAAGTGCAACACATTCTACCATCACTTCCCAGTATATTATTGCTACCCAATTTTAATTGAGGAAACAGGGATGCAGCTGATGTGTTTTCAAATGAGGCATATTTTCGCATAATTTTATTAAAGCTATATATATATACACACACACGCGCGCGCGCACAGAGTACAAAAGCTTGAAAGGTGGTAAAAAAAATTCAAACTAAACTACTGTTCAAAAGTATTCAATTGAAATAAAATTGAAACAAAGTGAAAGACAGAGAGTTATCCAGTGTCATAATAAGCAAGACATTCCTTTACAGTTAAGATATGTATTTTATACTAAGGTATTTCTCTGAAATAACTTTCTCCCTGCATGTATTAAAAAAATGTTTGCTATTTAATATTTTTTCCAATGCAGAGAGTCCCTTCAGCTTTATTAAACAAATACTAGCTTGAGTGGTTTAGAAAATCGAAATCATGCAGTTATTGTTTAGCAATTCTCCTTAACAAGTACATTTCTCACCCTCCGACTCAAAACCATCTCCCTGCTATAAAGACCTGCTCATTACTTGTTCTATTCCATTGTTTCATATTTACATGAATGGTGAGCAGTCCTCTAAACTGAGTTCATGAAAAAACAGATATAGAAATCAAAACTTCAATTCTGATTTCCATTGTTGAGTTATACACGTGTACGTACTTCCTGCTATTTATATAAATAGCTATCCTGGTTTTAATATACCATTTGGATAGAGTATCTTGCATTTGCTTGCAGACTATCTCCTGCAAAAATTTTCTATTATTTTTAAATTTATTATTTTTACCATTAGCAAAACGTATGGATAGATCTGAGCTTGAAAAATGTCTCAAGATAGATTCTGAAGTTTGGGTACTGATATTTTGGAACTTGAATGCTCAAGAAAATAGTTATTAAAAATTAAATGACAGATTTGAAAAGCCTGAAAAACAGGGGTGTGACAATAGAGAAATATCAGTGTTAAGGACAGAGCGATGCTACAATTAGAATTGCAATAAAATACTGAGTTATCTTTCTCCATCCAGCTTGGGAGCAACTGAAATTATGTTATTTCTCACCTGATGATACCCCAGCCAGGAAGACTAAAACTCATTTAGATGTGATTATATTGCATTCCTATTACTGGAGAGCAAGAGTGTATTGTGTAGACACTCTCAGATAGAAAGAAAAACAGCACCCCTACTCACCCACACAACAACCAACCTGTGTTATCATCAGACACGCAATTACCGTGCAAATCTGGCCAAAGACTTCAACTTCACTGGCAATCATAACTCCCTACTTGGTGACTATCCAGTATGACAGAGATGTTACTTATCTCTTCCTATTCTTGTCACTGGATTCTGCTACCTTTTCAAATAATGGCCAGAAAAGGTAGCAAGATATGGAAGTAAATCTCAGAACAACATTCATCAAAATCTCACAATTAGGCATCTCTTCAGCTATTCTATGGACATAAATCAATAGGTCATAGATGTTGCTTTGCAAAAATTAAAAATTAACAAAGAAGTTACCATTTTGTATATCTGAACAATTGTAGCTATATTCATAAGAGCAGCTGAACTGTATGTACACAGTATTTAAAAGAAGCGGCATAGTCTGAGAAAGGAACTGAAAGAAAATATCACCTCACTGCCTCGGACTGGAAGTTGCAGCAGCTGATGAGACCAGCTCAGTGTTCATGCAGCTTTAGCTTTAAATGCCAGTAAACTCCACTACTGTTTTCTCAGTAGTACCTATACCTGCTGGTATGTAAAGGGCAGTAAGAAAATCATGTCAGAAATTATACAACCAGCTAGCATCTTGATCTGAAGTATGAAACTAGTTGAAATGTACTGATTTACTGTAAAAATTATCCATGTTTTGCTACAAAGTGCTAAGCCCAAGACATTTTTTGGCATGATCTCCTCAGAGTTCATAGAGCTGGACAAGTCATGTCTTGTTACTAACATTGCTGATTATTGTCAGGTGTATCTTGATGTATTTGATGTATTCGTAACACTCCAACTCCCTGATGCAAAGCATAATGTGACTGTTCCAGGACCAGTTTGAAATAAAAGTATAAAGTCAAAAGTGAACGGAGTTTGATCTCAAGATTGAGCAATCAAATAATTTTTGTCATAAAGGTGGTCTAGCTCACAATTTTTACACACCGGAGGTTGGCAAGACTTGGGGCTGGGTACTGTTTGACTCAGTCCTATTGCCAGACTGGACACATGAAGATATTTTTACTTCAGTGAACCTACAGACATGGCAGAATGCCTCTTGGGAACTACTGCCTAGTAGGTAAACACCAACATATGCTACCCTGATCTGCTTCCTAGCAGTTTTCAAGGCAATGAAAGAACTCTGTGTTTCACCTCATCTTTGAAGAAGGAGTAAGTAGACTAATGTAAGGGACTACTAATACTTGATTGACTGTGTGTGCTGCTTGGCAGAAGAGTTAAACTGATTACACTGCACTTGAGTTTTACAGCTTTACGTAACTGGAAGAGTGCTCTGAGCTGATGTCTAGACACTTTTTATCTAATCTAAATCAAAATAAAATAACGTAACACATAACGAGGTCTGTATGACTTTGGGACAAAAGATCTCCTAGGGATCACTGCAAGAAACATTGCTGTGCTCTGAAGCAAGCAGTGCACTTCTGAATGGTGCAATAAATAATAATAAAGCTATTATTTTTTATTCTTCATTTGGGGTTATCTCTCTATTTTTGAGCCTTGGCAGTCTCAGATTTTTTTTCTTCTTCTATCTGTATCAAGCTTTTTACTTCAGACTTTTTGTGCTAATACAACTGTACCAAAGAAATAAAAATTACCTACAAAATTCCACTGCCCACAAAACAAAATCCAAACACAAAACTGAGTAATTATTTCATGGCTGACAGCAGTCAATGACTTATCATCACAGTAGGTCCTACGATTAAGGAAACTTGACAATATGCAAGTTATGAATTCTATGGATTATTGAATGCTTCTGCATGTGTGGAGTCACCTGTATTTAAGGCAAGAGGTGTCACTAAACCTTACTTAAGCTGAGCAATTTATGACACTGGAAGAAATAAAGCCTATAGAAAGCAATACAGCATAGTTTATTTGAAAGGAGAGGGACCGAAGCAGTGGAATTTTCTTACATAGAAAACCTAAAGAACAGGCATTAACTCCAAGTTCCTGGTTCTGTAGTTTCCAGACTTGGAGAGGTGACAGGCCTGAAAAGGACCCAGCGACGTAGGAAGCTTGCTGGGGGGAGAGCCACAGAGAAAACAAACTTTGGCCGAAGATTAACTGCTGGGCTGGATAAGGGAGAAAGAAACAATGTTCAGGAAAGAAAAAGTCACTTTGATTCAGACGAGAAGGCAAGTGCAGAAGCAGGGATCTTGAGTTTCTCAGATGACCCTGATCTGAACTCAAATGCTTAAAATTTTGTTAGGAACTAAGCGAGGCAGGCAAATTTATGTAGCATGTTGTGGGATTTTTTTCCTTAATTTTTCACATTTCTTTTGTAATCTTAAGTGCAAACTACATTGTTTTTTTTGGCATCTTTACAAGGTCTAGAGGTTTCTATGTGTTTTAGCTATTATTCACCCCCTAATAGTGTGTAATGCCTTTATAATGAATTAACTGATGACAGTGAACTCTAGGCTCCCTCTGAGATAAGAGGAAGTTATGCTGCTCACAGATAATGCTTCAGTCTGACTACATATAGAAGAAAATAACACTCCCCCATTTCACATTTGTTCGCATTTGAAAATTCATATTATCAGTGCACCCTTTGTCGACTAGCAGTATAACAATTTTAACCAAAAGGCAACATACTGCAGAAAGAACTGGGATAGCAGGCAACTAGCCTCATGAACTTCCTCCCGTTAAGGCCACGAGCAAAATCATCTGAAGTTCATTCCACAATTTTTATTTTTTTTTCCCATAAAGACCATTGTGGAGAACTGCATGGACCCTAAGGGAAAAGAAAAATAAGAAGACTGGAGTCATGACCATGGAGAAATAAAAGCTCTGCACAAGCAGCTAAACTGTCCCTTTTATTGTGGAGCACTAGCTCAGCTTTAATCATCTAACACCTTAGTACTCTATGCACTTCTGCTCAGCTGGATGCTCTAGTAGGTATTAGTTATATGGGCAGCTACGAATGAAGTCCCTTTTGTTAGCAGTTTGGTACTTTAAGATATATGCCTCCATGAGTAGGTGCTAAGGCAT